GGCAAAACAGTCACTTGAAGCAGGGATTCTTCCCATGTCCCCTACCTTACCATTGGCGGGCGGGCCTTCAGCCTCTCTGCCCCTACCCTCTGGAGCTCCATCCCACAGTCCCTCTGCCTCGTCCCCTCCCTTGCCTCCTTCAAGATCCTTCTCAAGACCCTCCTCTTCGACCATGCCTACGGTCACCCTCCTACCCCTCACCTCCCCGCCCTCCGTCCCTCCCGATCACAACCATCCACTCAGGTGCGGATCCCTGACTGTCCAGCTACTTAGATTCAATCAGCTGGCAAACGATATCCCAATGCACACTCAGGGATCCCCAAGCCTTGGCTCGCAGCAACCAGCAGCTAATACTCTCTGGAAATAGGTAAGCAGTGGGTGTCCCTTTGGGGAGAGAGTGTGTATTCCATTCCAGACAAAGAGAAATTCCCATGAGTGGGGTTCCACACGGGTGGAATTCTCAGTTGATTTGGATACTCTTGAGCATCAGCGCCTTGGGACGTCCTCCCGATGTGAAAGGCGCTCGACAAATGTAATTTTGTTGTTGTTGTCGTTGTTGTTGGGCTTGGCTTGTGGTGGCAAAAATGCTGTCATATCACGAGAGGGAACAAGAGGGGAAATGAGAGCTCATAGAGATAAAACATCAATGCGCTGGACCATCTCATTTTAAAATTAAATAATTAATCTCACCAGCTTCTCCGTTAAGGTAACGAAAAGGATGCTTCTCAAATGAGGCCAAACCCCTGCCACAGCTCCAGCTCTACCACTCTCAGTGACTGAGTGGATCAGGGGACAGTAATTATCAATTATAGCAAGTTAGCCAACAAAGACAGGGCGAGATGGTTGAAGGGAACGTATTTCAGACAAGCCAAGGTTCAAAGAGTTTATTTTATGGAGCAATATTTGCATTGCCTTTGGCTGATTTTCTGCAGAAAAGATCTGCAGTGATTCTATTAGAACTGTCCTAAATTATCAGGGAAAGAAAAGGACAAGACTATGCACTTATTTGTTTTCTTGATAACCAGTGTTTTTAACTAACAAAATGCAGTCAAGGTCGGAAGGAGCATTTTGATCTCTAATGGTGGCCATTAGTTTGTTTTCCTCCCACTTTGGCCCTACTGACTGCAGATTTATTAGAATGATGATGCCTCTCAGCAGAGTGCTGCGACTATGTCTGCATCGCTGTAACAACTGCGTTTGGAATATGTAAATTGGACTCACTTGATTGCATTTTGCATGACTTTAATACCGAATGAAAGTAGATTAAAATCAGAGCCAGGCCATGGTTCCATATTCAGTCCATATTAAATTGGTCTCACTTAAATCTGCTCCACCCCCTGCACATAGAGCATTGCAACTCAATAAATCAACATTTATTGCAAAGGATTTCTTCTCTCAGAGATGCCATTCGATGTCTCGTTCCCTCTCTCCCAGGTATGTAAATGGCTGCAATGACTGGAACCCTTGGAGACTATGAGCCAGACTTAAAAGGCTGACCAATATGTTGCTCATTATTCAGCCCCTCAGGTTATGTATGCACAGAGATGCAACTCATTAAAGCGTCTTTACGCAACTATTAAATGTGACCTGTTGAAAAGTCTGTTCGTGACTGTTCACCATTCTCTATGAACTTAAAACTATGTAAAAGCAGCAATTACCCTCTCAATATCACAAAATAAACTACCTCTTCCTCTTCAAAATTACACACAGAGTGGTATGGAACCGAAAACGATTTCAATCAAGGCTTTTCTTCCTGAGCAATCGGTTCATGCAGAAGATGTAATGTAGAACGGCAAACAAGCTTTAAGCTGGTTACAGCAGCAAGTACTGAAAACAATGCAGTGTTACAACAGTGACCTCTAGTGCGCATTAAGAAACTTCATTCCAGTCAATGTTACTCCCTCAAATGGACCAATTTTAAGGTTTTATCAAGACTCGGGAGGCAATGTGACCAGCCTGCATTAGATATTTATCTTGAATCCCTCAGGGACGTGTGTAGCATTGATATTTTTTTTAAAAAACAATAAACTTTTTAACGCTGTATAACTCATAGAATTCGTCCGAATGCTCTTGGTCCCATGGGCAAACAAAGCCGAGCTTCTTGCTTGGTCTTTGCCAGTGTAATTCAGTATCCAGTAGCAGCCACTAGGAGCTGGGCAAGTGATATGAGCAACTTCCCGTGTGACTGGCCATTGCTGATGAAAAGCTAGTTTCGATTTTGAACAGAAGGCAGAATGGGAGAATTCACTGGAACTGAAATGTATTAACATCTTGGTGTGATTAATTCAGATAGGATTGGTGCAGGAGGATGAGTTGTCCACTTGCCTCGTGTGTTTAAACCATGTATTAAGATGAGCTCTAACCTCCAGCTACTTCTGCTTACAGACCTCTTTTTACAGGATTAATATTCTGAACAATCAACACTAATTGGCAAATGTAAATACATATTAATGGATGTTACTAATACTTGCACTTATCAAATCATTGGAACTGCCTTCTTTTCGAATAGTGCCATGGGACCTTTTAATGTCCACCTACCAGGCAGACAGAATCTCAGTTTAATGTCTCATCCAAAGGACAGCTCCTCTGACAATGCAGCCAGACGATGAGGTCGAAGTCCCAACCCATTGTCTCAAATTAATTTGCCTTCAAAAATAACATTGTGTTGATTCACAATCTCAGATCGATGATATCTGAGACATACTGGAACTAGTAAATATTCCCTTGAACATGCAATAAACCTCTTCCTCCACCAGCAGTCCAGCAGACGAAGAGTAGCCAAGAACAATCTCTAAGTAGTCTGATTTTTCTTCCCATGTTCGAGCAAAGACAACCTTAATTGCAACAATCAATTATTGGTCGTGAAAATTGCCATGAAAGCGCAAACCAGATATACAGGTTAAGCACCAGTATATTTTTACAATTTCATGGTTACTGTCATTCCTTTTAAGAGAAAAAAAGTCTGTTGGCATCAATTGGTGTTAAAGATATTAGTCCAGCTAGCTGATAAACAACCTTTCACATTCAACCATCACACACAAAAAAAAACTTTGCTCAAAATGTTTATTCTTATACAATATCCAAAAGTTTCATTGAAAATATGTACACAGGAAGATGGGGGGAAATGACATGACAAGAGTGAACTTCAAATAATCTATGAAACCGCTTTAAAGGAACTTGTGAGCATCTGAATGCTTCAGTGCATGCTTGTTTTACTGTGGCGAATGTTGAAAGGACTATAGTAATTCAGTAATAAAGTAGCAGCAAGCTTGCTTAAAACTGTAGTATTAGAAGCAGCTCATACAAAAGGAGTGAAGTTGCAGGAAAATGTTAATCTTACACACAAGTAAAAGTAAAACTGGACCAATAGATGTTCTAAAAAAAATACTCTTTCTTTCAAGAGAACCAGAGATGCAGACCAGCGTGTATGTATTCCAGAACTGGGTGAATCTACACATTAGTACATCATAAATTAGAGATATTAGCTAGAAAACACTTGGTTTGAACACCAATTTTAGTTAAAAAGGAATGAAAAAAATGCAATAAATACAAGAAAACTGAATTAAATAAGATGTACTTTTTTTAGATGCATTCTACAGTGTGTCCCACTACAACGCAAAAAAAACCTCTCAATTCCTAATATTTTAATACTGTGGATTCTTTTTTAAAAATAAACATGTCATGAATGAGAATCTCCAATGAAAGGTATCGGAAATGGAAGTAGAGGTTAGTGAAATTCAGCAACTACCCCCCCGCAACAATTTTAGGATCTGCAGGAAAACAAGCAAATTTTAACCCCTGTATCAAATGAGTCAACAATTTGGAAAATATGCTATAAAAGTGCAACTATAAAATATTTTCTAGAACATGTACATATGGCTCAGTCGTCTCTGGGGAAGGAGAGGGAACGAAAACCGAAGTTCAAGGTCATAGGAGGTCAGTAGTGTAGATATTACGAACCCCAAATAAAATAATATTTCTTCTGAAAGAGGTTGGGTTATTTGTAAGGCACACATCACAATTCAGGAGCTCTCTGTGGTTAAGTGTGGTTAAAGCAGACTTTTATGCCAAAAATACACAAACATACACACACACACACGCATCTCACTCTATTCCTGTTCTCTCATTGGTGACAGTCGTAAAAAAAAGTATATTGTGTTTTTTTTCAATAAACCTTTGGAATCCAACAGTCTGACCACAGTTATCAGGCACAATAGTTTGTATGCAATCTCTACAGTCTTCCAATGGTTTCGTTACTAAGTGTACGTTAGCAGCATTTTTTTAAAAAAAAAGAGTTTTTGAGTATGTAGCATTGTTCAGGACACAACTGTAGACTTGGGAGATCTTTTCACTCACAAATACAGTTCTTTTTCAAGTTTCCCCTTCTCACCTCTCAGAAAAAAGCATCTTTGCAACGAAGTAGGAACATTATCCAGTTCCAAAAACAAAACACAACTATAATGTTGGCCAAAAGCCTTCATTCACTTCATATGAACCACCTGGAATCTAGGAGCGACTCAACCCTCCACCCAGTTAGTAAATGTACAATAAAGGCAGACAAAATTTTAGCAGCCCAGTTGCACAGAAATGTAACGTTAAACTTATTTACATATTTCATTTATTCTATAGTTAAATGACATTGAATTTCACAAATGAATAGTCCTTCGTTCTCTCGCTGAAACACAGCATTAAAGACTCCAGACTCACTTCTACAGTTAATACCTGTTCCACCGTACAGGAAAGTCACATTAACAAACAGTATCCCTTTTGTTGGTATTAACTGGATTAAAAAAAACTAAAACTTCAAACCCATACGATCTTGCCATAAACATTGAGAGCTGAATAGGTTGATTGAATTTTTTTCATAAAAAAAGCAGATCAGTGCTGTAATGATTAAGGCAATAACTAACACTTTCCCACAGGCAACTAATTATTTCTTCAATTCAAATTCTCTTCAAATTAGTTCTCTTCAATACCCACCCCACCCACCACCACCACCACCAAAAAAAAGTTTAGTGCATTTAAAAATAGTACAACATATAGGCTTGGGTTTCAAATCAATCCGCAAGTGACTTTGTGAAGCTTCCCATTCCAAGAAAGATTTTCCTGGTCCCAGCTGAACTTTGATCATTTCAGTAGAGTTCAATCCTCTGCCACCTCTTGGATGTTAGGAGGGTTTACTATATGCAAGTGTGCAATATTGTCATCCCCAAATTTTAATAAAATCTAAATTAATGTTTTTATAATACGCACATTTGAAATATGAAGGCATTTGAAGACCAATTCAGTGAACAAATAGTCTTCAATAAGCGTTCAGTTTGACAGTCATTTTCACTCCATGTGCAGAACCAATGTTTCGTATTTTTTTAAAAAAAACTAAACATGTACCATCCAGGCACTGAATTTTGGCCCATGTGACAGATTAAAGCACAGCTATAGTAAGCATTTCTACATATTTCATACACATTTATAATGTAGTTCAGTCACACAGAGGAGTTATGTAATAATGTTGATGGGAATCCCACCTCGATAAAACGACATCCTTTGATAAATGCAGCATATTGAAAGATTTACATGAACTGCGCCCATACAATGTATTTTCATTAATATCACAATGTGCTGTGCAATTTTGAAAATTTTGCATACAGGTTATATGCAAAACGAACCCTTCCATCATGCTCAGGGCACGAATGGGATGGGGAAGGAGGCAGGGGAAATAAAGGCGAGAAAGATAATTGAGGGTGCATTTAACCATTCAAGCAAATCCAGTCAACTGAATCAGCTGCAATATACTGTATTGCTTACTACACCTGAGATACCCAAGACCACACTGAATACAAAGAGACTATTGGAAGACTGGTGATGGCAGAAGCGTTACCACAGTTCATACAAGTTTGATTTATGTTTTATTTATTTATTTATTGCTCTTTATTTCCCGACGTAAAGAAAAAGAGTCCAATAAGAGTTAAGCAACTTCCCAGAAATCTCAAAACTTCGGGTACCGAAAAAACAAAAATCTCGTTTCCGATTCAAAAGAATAATTAACACAAATCCTAGAATTCTAAAAAGAAAAACACAATGGACCCAATGTGAGATATTAGTGCCAAGCTATCGGTGTAGTTATTGCAAATACAGAAATGCTTGGGCAAATTTAACTAAAACCAGTACAATTCAAGTTCAGAATCAAAATGGAATACAAGGCGATTTGGGTACACACATACATCGCTCGCTCACTCGCTGGTTTGAACCGAACAAAAAAAATAATGTCATCAAACAAAATGGAATTGTAGTGTTCTGTACATGTACAAATCACAGCTTATTTGAGGTGGATCTTGTACTGCAGGCGTGGTCAAGATTTCCTCCCCAATGGATAAGGTGGCGAGAACACTTCCATGCCAGAAAAGGAGTCTCCCATTCACAGCTTCCAACCGATCTAGGATGAATAAGGGCAAATAATTAATGATGCAAAGTGCCAACGTAAAGCACAGCCACCTGTGTTTTAACCACACAGCAGGTTTACAGCAAGTTTTCGGTGTTCAATTATTAATGCGGAAACCAAAATCTAGGTAGCATTCCGAGCCACATTTTAGCAGGGTATTGTGAAAACCGCCAGCAACACCACTCTCCTCTGCGGCAAGTTAAAATTTGGAGGTGCCAGTGGGGAGAAAAACAATAGGCGTCGGAAGTGAGGGTGCTAACAACTGAATCAGAAAGTGATCGGTTCGAGTCCCACGTCAGGACTTTCAACTCACAGTCCAGGCTGACGCTCCAATAGACCAAATTGTTATAACCCGGGTTCACCTAGAATGTGTGAGTGTGTAGTAACCAGCGATTGCACCCAGTTACAAGACTGGTTAGGAATTTTATGGAGCCCCCTAACACTGATTTATAATAGGGCTCCAATATATCGTGCCATTTTCCTCGCTGTAATACATTATTGAAAGTTTTACTAGATTAACCAATGTTGGACATGCTGGATGAGGAGTCCTGTAGCTCAGTGGTTAGAGCACTCGCTTTGCAAGCGAGTGACCTGAGTTCAATTCCAGGAAGGGCGAAACCTTGGGCAAGTTTCCTTACTCCACACGCCTAATAATAATCCCTCCAAAAAAACCAAAAAAAAACAATAATAAATTGGTCACTTTCAATCCATGACTGTTTGTGGGACATTGCTGTGCGCAATTGGCTGCCGCGTTCGCCCACAAATATACAGTCAATTCACTTTACAATCTATTCTGTGAAGCGCTTTGGGACGTCCTCCCGATGTGAAAAGCGCTATATCAAATGAAAGGATTATTATTATTATAGGCTACGTGTGCAGCCCAGTCCCATTTAAACAAATGACTCTTTCAAATTACCTTCTTTCATGGACGTGTTTGTCTCATTGACTTATGTACTCTTTGTCTAAAGACCCACTGTGTGAGTGATTAATGCTCCGTTTTTGCAACATACTGTTCGAGTGCTGCAGATACTGGAAAGGTCTTTTCCCTATGGACATGAAAGAGGGAAGNAAAAAAAGCCATTGTAAGTTACAAATGCTTAATTCATCTATTAAAAAAATGACGTTCTTAAAAACTGCATTCCCTTTTGTCCTTTCACTTTAAAACTGAAAATAAACACTGGTCACTTGCTGGACACTGAAAGCTAAGCAAAGCATTCCAAATATCTTTGAATGAGTGTAGAATAAAGTTTGTCAAAGAAAAGCAAGTCGCAGCAGTGTTAACTACCAATACTGCTTTCATAAAAAGTAATTCCTTTGCTCAGTTTGTGAAGTTTACTACTTGGCTCTTCAATTCCACAATTGTATCCAATAATCTCCCGCTTTCCTCTCCACCAAAACTGCAGATGCTCTTTTCCCTATGGACAGAGACTTTCTTGATCAAACGCAAAGATTTATATATGAAACGATGCAAAGAGATTCATTCTGAGAAAGACTTTACAAATTCTATGCATTGCTGGAGAGTTCAAATAAGGGATTAGAAAGCTTTGATAAACTGGTGATGCCTCAGACAAAGCATTCATTGCATTTCCCCACAATCTACAATTATAGATACAAAACCCTGCTTTGTAATAAGGTAACTACACCACCTCGATAGATGATAGTGATAGACTAGGATTGAACCTTACTGGTCTGCCTCACTATCTGAGTGCTTCGATGGTCATTATGATCATAACTGACCTCAGATCTCACTTTCAATCTCTATCTTTTGATGAAAGTATACATTTGTAGGCAGGACTGGCACCAGCTATAATGGACCTTCTATCAGTTGAACAGCCTGCAAATAGCTCACGGGCTATTCTATTCTTCTCCCTTTGAGGCAACATGGGAGGGAGGGAGGGAGGGCGGGAGGGAGGGAACGGACCACTCAGTGTCCAGGTTTTACAGGAGAGAGAATGGCAACTTGGGCAGGCAACCAGAAAGTTGCCAGCAGCTACCTTTGGAATTACCGCAGCATAAAATCACTGCCTTAAGGCAGGTGGAGAGAATGTGTAGGGAGATTGTTTAAGGAGACTGCAGTGCCAGGTGGCACTTCTGAATTTTTATGGAGGCATATGCTTTAATCCCAAAATAAGGCAAGGCCACAGCAATGAGCACTTAGCGATGAATTACCAACTGTTTTTTCTGTATTCAAGTATACAACAATCGCTCCACTTTAATTACACCAAGAGCCACTCCACCCGAAACCTTTTAAACAGGTTTAACAATTTTTTTAAAGAAGAGCCTAAAAGGAAGTGTTCATATGCATACAGAGCACAAGAGACACCACCAACAAGGCAGGTCAAACTAGTGACCTACATATTCAAAGTACGAGTTTCTGCAATACTCTTCTCCAGGTAAACGGCAGCCACAGAAATATAGCACTTCCTAATTTGGGAGAAAAGTCCCCCCAAAAAAACAGAAGCGGATTCAAATTGGACAAGAGAATTAACAGTGAGCTCAGGCAGGAGTGAGATCTGCCATCTGAGTGTTCTTTCGAAAGAAAACCGGAACAGGAGACCATTCTGCTCATTGAGCCTGTTCCACCAGTTTAATGGATTTGGGCAAAACTTTTAATTCAAATGCCTTTCACTATAGCCTTCAATATCTCCACTCTTAGGTCCTCCAACGCTGCCCCAGTGAAGAGGGCTATATAAATGTGAGTCACTGTTACCCAAATATCTGTCTCTCTCATTTTTAAACATCATTAATGATTCCACCTCTACAGGTGTTCTGCACTAGAGTATTTCACATCTCGACAACCCTTTGTGTGAAGAAATGTGAACTCCTCTGTTTACTGCTTAACCGAGGGGCATCATTCCAGTTAGAAGTAAAGTATGCTCTGCCAAGAAGTAGGAAAAAAAGTCTAGTTGAATAAAGTAAGACTCCTAAACCTCATTGCTATCCCTACTAGTCAATGCAAGGAATTAGTTGCTGATAGATAAAACTCAGCTGTGATGTTTACACCACAATTAATCCCAAATCTCAAATGAATCCGCCCGGCCCACCATCGGCGGTCGGGACTTCAGCCTCTCCGCCCCACCCTCTGGAACTCCATCCCATATTCCCTTTCTCTCGCTCCCTCCCTTCTTCAAGGCACGCCTCAAGACCCTCCTCTTTGACCATGCCTTTGTCCACCCTCCTACTCTCTCTGTCCTCCGCCCTCTCTGATCCCAACCCAATCCCCACCAACCTCACACCCCCTCCCACCCCAAGGTTCAGCGCGTTGGGGTGTCCTCCTGACATAAAAGGCACTTTACAAATGCAATTTTGTATTGTACAATTACCCTCTCCCTGTTGTTGTTGTCCTTCGTGAACGGTGCAATTCGCTGTTGGACAGCAGCACAGCTAAACTAGCAATCGCAACCACAGGACAGAATGTGAATGGAAACTTTTCAAACCTAGAATGTGGGGCAGACAGGGCATATTGAGCCGCTGTAAGGTCTCGCTTTCTGGATCATGTGCGCTGCTGCACGATAGCTTCGTTGAGTTAGCAACAAAGCTTTACAATGCAAATTACATTAATAATCCTTGCATTTGACATGATGCCTTATCGCGTCGGTGAGACATCTCAAAGCGCTCCGCAGAATAGAATGTAAAGTGGATCGACAGGTGCCAATCCATTTCATATTGTGGGCGAAATGCTTCTTAAATAGTCTGGTCAACCTGATAGAGTGTACAAAATGCCACATTGGCAAAAAAAAGCAAGGGGTTGACTATGACCACCTGTATCAAACGAGCTTTCCCTGGCAGCAACATAATGATGCATGGAATGGGAAGGACTCGAAACGGTCTGTTCCTGGAAATGGAAACTCCCTGGTTGAAAAAAAAACCCTGCAACTCCAAAGAATTTGCTCAAAATCTGGGACTCGGGAGGATTATTCCCAGTCTGGCTGCCAGAAGCAAGGAAAACAAATGGCGTGTTAAAATTATTGCAATTATGCAAATAGTCATCAGGTCCCGTCGTCCAAAAACGGATGAATTGTATATAATAAAACACACATCTCGTCAAAAGGAAAGCATATCCAGCCAGTCAGTACTGCATACTGCTCGCCAGCCCTGAATATATTCCAGAGAACTGTCTGGAAGGTACAACAGTTGCTGAGCAACAATAATCACTCTCCCTATCCTTGGCTGACACAATCTCTGGGCCCCGTGCGTCCCAAGTAACATTATGACCAGAAAACAGCAGGAGAAATGATCACGTTAAAATTCAGGACAGAAAGATGTCATTAGCATTTCTGATATGCCAGGGCCCTTCTCTGGCTACTGAAAGCCTCGGTGTGACTACTTGTCAGCCTTCATTGTCATCAGTGCTGACAGCGCATGCAAAGTGCAAGGCTGCAAGTATGAATAAATTGCATTAAATTAAAAGCCACAAGCTTGATGTGCCTCTAACCGTAGCATCACACTTCTTGTCAGGCCTGATCCTTTCCGAGCAGCTGGCTTTATTTTTCCAGACATCAACCAGCTTCGTCAGGCAGCAAGTCAGGCAAGATGCAATGTCGTCACCTTGATGGGGGCAACTGATGCAAAAACAACAGGAAGTGAGTGGCACCAGAACTTTGCTGTCTCCTCTGGGCAAAAAAAAATACATCAGTGTGATGAACAAGCAGTGATTGGAAGCATCATGGGCTAATCAAGTTTGCTGAGTGCAATGCATTTCCCATGTCACTCCCGATCTTCCATCCAACACACTTCAGACATCCGCTCTGCCCCAGAGAATGCTGTCACCGGCCAACAAGGGCCAATTTTGTCATTCAGAGAGCTCGAGGATAGTTCCGGCTCAAAGATGTGCAGCATTTATTACTGTCTTACATTTGCAAATGACGGTTGGTTCAGTTTGACGTCTTCCGATTTAGAAATTCATCTTGGGTTGGAAAGGAGCTAAAAAGATTTTATATATAGTATATGTATATTTACAAAATGTGCACACGCGCACACAAAATGCACATGCCACAAATAAACAGAGCTGCGGCACTGTTTCAGACACGAGTAATCTCCGGATTGATTGATGCAGATTTATTCTGGAGCTTCATTTAATCCTTCATGAAGTTTGCAAGTCAATGACTGACTTCAACTCAACGGAAGGCAAACGCCCGGCAATTTGCAGACTAATTTGGTCGGAAAAAATCACAATGAGAATGTTGCAGGTCCGAAGCAGGAAGAGAAGGTAAGGGACGTTCAGACCAGTAAACACACCTTTGTCCCGTGTATGTGCTTTAGTTAATAGCTTTGCTCACGAATACCAATGGCACAGAGTAGAGATTTTATTAACGTCTCATCAAAAGAAATTGAAAATAGGTTCTTTCCCCACTCGATAGCTCAGCAGCATTATCCACTGAATATCTGAAGTGTTAGGTTCAAGCCAGTTTGTGTGGCTATCTGATCTCAGTTAGGACAGCACTCAGAATATTAATATTGGCCTCAGCAATGTAATCCAGGTAAAGGAAGGTAGAAGAGACAGAGAGTGAAAAAAAAATCAGCCACGTCCCCACATCTGATTGCTATCCGGCAACCCCTACTGGAGGCATACACGCTGGGCGAGAGAAGGATTGCGATTAAGTTCAACACTCCCCACGGTCAAGTGATATTTGACCGTGGTATTTGCTGTTAAGAGGTGCACACATTAAGCATGGCTAGTTGACCAAAATACCAGAGGATGAGAGGCACCTGGACACAAGGATGGGGTCGGGCAAGACAACGACCTGGCTGGTAAAGTACAGCTGTAAATAAACATCTATTGATGCAGAGGTGTCAAATGGCAACCATGCCAGGTTGGACAAATTGCCATGTGCCTCCTGTGAAAAGATGGTATTTCATCCCTTTAGGTTCCTGGCAGCTCTCTCGGTGTGCCCGACGCAGCAATATTTAAGCGAGAAGTTATACTAAGACAGATTCCGCTGGTGACCTCGTACACACGAGTGCTATACAGAATGGAAACGGGGCTATTCGGTCCAACTAGTCTGCATCTAGTTTATATCCTGTACAAACCTGCACCCCTAATACCCCTCTATTCCTTTCTCCTTCGTGTATGTAATCACAATAGTTTGAATTAATGTGTCAAGACTGAGCAAAAAAAAGGAAATATCAACCAAGACAAGATAAATCACACATACCTTCCTGACCCATATTAGGGTCTCTATAGTTGCTGGGCCCACAGGTACTGTACAGCGAAGCCAAATTTTGCGGGCTGTAGGACTTCAAAACATTCAATACATTCCAATGTCCATCAACTCCATTCGAATCAAAGAATGGTCCTTGCTTAGACGACACCCCTGAGTTTTTTGCCTGAACAGGGGACATCTCCTGAGATAAAAGTTTGACATTTCTTCCTTGGACATTCCTCCTCGACCCGAACAGAATTTGATCGTTTTTTAAGGGATTGTTGTTTGCTTTCATTCTTTTTGCTGTTGGCTCATGCGAGTCCAACGCTCCCTGATTCTCAAACGTGTTAGTAAGACATACTTTGCCTGCGTTTGGCGAAGCCCATGGACTATCGTATCTGAATATGGGTCCTCCTCCAGGCCGGTCAGATTCACTGTCCAACTTAATGCGAGACTTCTCAGGCATATTTCGTTTACCATTACCGCTTTCTGAAGGACCACCTCTTTCCAGCATTTGAACCATGTCCAGCCCTGGTCTGAACTCGGTGTACATAGGTCCATAGTTTTCTAGATTGACATTAGGATTTGGGGATGGCTTGAATGGTTTAAATTCACCTGAAGATCTGGGTCCTGAGGCAGAATGAAGGTTATTGCACTGGGACTGGTGTGATGATGGTTTCACTTTCCCAAGCATTAAACTCGAGGTATGCAGTGGGGCAGCTGGTAGTGGTGACTTGGTCCGACGGGAGAGCCTGGGGTTCATTTCTTTGGTTGCAGGAAAGGAAGGAACGTCTTTACCCAATAGTGCAGGAGGGCATCCAGTGCGTCTGCCTTTAACCAGCCCACTCAGAGCAGCACCTCGGATGCCATTTAACGGGCTGGGGTCAGAATTATACTTGTGTACCAACCTTTGGTGCATGACCAGGACCTCAGGGTAAAATGTTCTGTAGGTACAAAACGGGCATGTGCTGCTCGGTAAGGCACTCTTGGAAACTGAGGTAGATGCATTTCCCTGAAGGCTACACAAGCTTTGCAAAAAGGGTTTTGTGCAGAGATTCAATGGATTTTCAAATAAATTGGATTGAGATTGATCACAGTAGTCCTCCATAGCTCCTCCAAAACTAAGACTGTACTTGTTATTGAGTGACATTGGTTCCATCTTTACCCCTTTGGCATGGTTCTGTTGCATACCATCATTCAGCAAAGAGTCCTCCAAGGCCTTGATATCCCCTGGGCCAACACCTGCCTTAAGGTCAGAGTTATTCCTCCGCAGCTCAGCTACCACCTTTTCGACCCGCGACCTCTCGGTGAACGGCATCAACGGGTTGTAGAAGACCTGGTGAGAGTTGTGAAAACCAGCGTTCCCGCTGAGGTCTGGGAATTCTCCACCAGCGCCGGGAAGCACAGAGTTGGAAAGAACCTGCCGGGAAGGGTGCAGCACGCGCTTGTGTTTCCTCAGAGGCTCAGCGTCCGTATCGAAGTCTTTGACGGCGCTCAAAGAATCGGCGAACAACCTCTTCGAATCCGCAGACTCGTCGCTTCCCGTCGGGCCCGGGTCTAAAGGTGGGGACGTCGATGGGTTCTTACTGAGAGAGTCGCTCTTTTCCTCCGGAGCCTTTTTCTGTTCAGGCTTGTGGTGTCGCTCCAAGTGATACTTAAGAGACGTCTTCTGGGCTGCGGCGTAGTTGCAGAGGGGACATCGGTGCGGTTTCTCACCTGAAGTTTCAACCAAAAAAAAGTACTAAGTGGAAACGTATTCACTCAGAGATTTACCAGGCTACTGTTGGCAAAAAGACTCTCCTCAGGGCTAGGATAAGATTCTCCACCCGGCAGCGAATTTACTCAGTTCGGAAGACGGTTTAGGGGATAGCAGCATCGTGCCCCCAGAATATCAACTACTAAAAAAAAAAATCGGAAATACTCTGCTCAAAGTGGGGGGGTGGGGGGGGGGGAGAGAAGAGAGAAAATAAGCTTGAGCCTGTCTATCCGCAACAAAATAACAGAGAGCACACGTATTCTCCCACACCTGTATGTATCCTGAGATGAATGTTGAGGTAATAGTTTGAACGGAAAGTCTTCCCACAGTAACTGCACTCCCCACTCGTACCGGAGTCTTTGCTTCTCGCTCGTTCCGAGCCTTCCTCAGTTCGATCTGCAAGGGGTGGGGGGGGGGGTGGGGGGGAGAGGAGGGGGGAAGACGATGGAGAAAAGAGAGAGAAAACATGTAAGAAAACACCAATTGCTGGCAATTCCTCCAACTGCTCACTCCACACAAGCACAACTAACGGAGGTGCCAGATACCAAACAATTCTGCGAGTCCACCCTTTGCCAATTATAAATTGAATCCGTGACAACAAGTGTTAATCTGTTCCGCCAGCGTAATGACATTCTACTTCAACATGTTACTTCCATAAAATATGGCGATTTCTCCGCTGCCCCACCCCCGAAACAACGGAAGAAGTTAAGTTTTAATTCTTAAAACGAGAGTACTTTGAATTTCAAAATACATGAGATAAAGTGGCCAGAATGTCAACTGCTAAAATTACGGGAGATATTCTGTTGGGGGGTTGGGAGGGAGTGGTGGGGGGGAACGAGAAACACTGCACAGCTAATGACAATCTTCCCCCTCGTACCCCCAACCCTAATACAAAATAGATACAAGGACTAGAGCAACTGAAAACCAGCGTTAGTTTTCATTCTGTGGTCACAACTTATCCTTGGGACATCCTGAGCCACACTGGCTATAAATTCCATAAGTCAAAAAAGCGTGCTGATGTGAAAACTACAGAACCACAAGCTGACATAAAATCATGTTCTACTGTCTTAAACGTCAGATAAGTGTATAATCTGGAAGGGGAAAGAGGGCGAGGAAGAAAGCCTCTAGGTCTAATTTAAACCATCCAGAACTAGAAGTTCTCAACGTAAACTAAACGTCAGCATTCATGCAGCTCGAGCCAGTGCCATTTGACTTTGACATGTCAGTAAGTACAAGCCGGGACTCAGGTCTGGAGACCTATCCCCACATACATTCTTTCTCCACGTGTGTAAATGCAACAGCACCGCAAAAATCAGCACCACTGCACTACACTCAGGCTCGGCTGATGTAATGATTTGTGTTATTTGCATCAAATGCAAAGGGTTCGTGTTTTTTTTCCCCGGCGTTACGGGAAGTGACCTTAGAATCTAGATGAGGACATCGAAGCTAATATATCTAAATTCGCGGATGACACAAAACTAGGAGGAAGTGTCAACACAGAGAACGACATTAAAAAAAATGCAGCGAGACATAAGATAGGTTAGATGATTGGGCAGGTAAGTGGCAGATGAAGTATAATGTAGGGAAGTGTGAAGTCATCCACCTAGGGAGCAAAAACAGTAGAGCGGGTTATTTTTTAGAAGGGGAGAGATTGGAATGTGTTGGCGTCCAGAGGGACTTGGGGTGTCCTTGTACACCAATCACAGAAAGTTAGTCTGCAGGTGCAGCAGCAATTAGGAAGGCGAACGGTATGTTAGCATTCATTATGAAAGGGTTAGAGTATAAGAGTAGGGAAGTCTTTCTGCAACTGTATAGGGCCCTGGTGAGACCACACCTGGAATACTGTGGGCAGTTTTGGTCTCTTCATTTAAGGAAGGATGTACTTGCCTTGTGCAGCGTAGATTTACTAGGTTAGTGCCAGGGATGAAGGGGATGAGTTACGAGGATAGGCTGACCAATTTGGGCCTATATTCTCTAGAATATAGAAGAATTAGAGGGGATCTTATAGAAACCTATAAGATCATCAAAGGGTATGATAGAGTAGATAGTGGGAGATTGTTTCCCCCGGTTGGAGAAACTAAAACCAGGGGTCACAACCTGAAAATCAGAGGTCAGCCCTTTCGCACTGAGTTGAGGATGAACTTCTTCACTCAAAGGGCGGTGAATGTATGGCACTCACTACCCCAAAGGGCAGTTGACGCTCAGTCCTTGAACTTATTCAAGACTGAGATAGAGATAGAGTTCTTACTGCAAAAGGGATTAAGGGATATGGGGATAAGGCAGGGTCAGGTTATTAGCTGGAGTTAGATTAGAAGATCAGCCATGATTGAATGGCGGGGCAGACTCGAAGGGCTGAATTGCCTACTCCTGCTCCTACATGTTATGTTATGTAGAATGTTGGTGGGGGCCGGGGAGAAAACAATCGTAAAGCAATGCAGGAGGACAATTTTTTTTTTTTAAAAATCGGGTATCTTCTCACGCAAACAATACTTTACACGGCCTGAGGGTGCCAATAGTTTTTGCCCAATATTAAATTTTTCCAGAGACTTTCACTAGAGGTACCCTCACCAGAGGTAGCAAGAGTCACAGCCACACCCTGTACAGAGCGAGCAGGTTTGTTGATAGTGTGTCATCAGTTCTACTCTGCATTAAGTGCAAATTGCCCGATTGCCTACCGTCTGTACAAAGAATCAAAATCAAATCCGATCTAAAGATCCAAGCCTGGGCGAATAGAGCAGCCCGATTTACTGTGTTTGACTGTATCAAAAGAGCACAACACACACACACACAAAATTGGCAGTGACTTAAAAATGCACATTAAATAACTGGCTCAAACATCACTAAAAGGAAATCATTAAAGACGAGCAGAACACAACACATCCCTAGGTTTCACAGGCAGGATTCCAGTCACTCTTCACCATCTATACCTTGAACCTTATACAGAAACTGCTATAGGGTCAAAAGCTAAACATTGAGTGTCGGAAGTTGTGGAGGTGAGGTGACAAGTGTGTGGAGGTGAGGGTCAGGTTTTAAGCTGGGCTCTGATGCTCTCTCTTTATAAACACTCGTTTATATAACACTCATTTTACTGGACAGCAACTGTACGCCCACACGAACAGCATTTTCAAGGAGGAAAGGTGAAAAAAATACTTAAACAAACATCCTAGAGCAGCAGGGCAATAACAGGAGCCAATGTTGGGCTTCTATCCAGCTGGGAATCATGTCGTATGACTTTCCAATACGAGCCATAAAACCCAAATAAAACTATTGCTTCTAGTGCAATAAAACAGCACAGCACTAGAGGGTGCAATTCAACTGCAGAAACGCAATTTGAAGATTGTGGAGTAAACTGAGCTGGGTGGGAAACATTACCAAGCGGTTTAGAAAAACACTTGAAATCACACAAAAATGGGACAGAATTTAATACGCTTTCCTTTTAGGCGCATCTCAATCCTGAAAATATTAGGACAAACCACAGTCACGGTTGCAGAGTAAGGAAACAACATTTCTCCGAGCCTTCATCCGAACAGCATCGTCTTAAAACTTCCGCATTTTGTTAAAAAAAACTTCTTAGGAATTTAGAAGCAGCTTTTCCCACACTTATTACAAAGGGATTGGAACCGGCAAATCTAACACTCAGACTACACTGGAAGCGATGCATTTACCCCCAAAAGACATTAAAGAGATTGTGATCAGTTCTAGAAATGTATAATAATAATATTTGATATAGCGCCTTATCATGTCGTTGTGACGTCTCAAAGCGCTTCACAGAACAGATTGTAAAGCGAATTGACTGTATATTTTTGGGGGGCGAAATGTGGCTCCGAATTGTACAGGACCGATCGATATTCTGGCAGGGGCTTCATCATACGTATGGGGGTAGGGGGTGGTGGGGGGGATGTGAAGCGCTTTGGGATTTCCTCCCGACTTGAAAGTCATTATACCAAATGTAAGAATATTATTAATATTTAAAAACCAGAATCTAGTGAGGAATTTTAAAGAAACGCAACCCAAATTCCCAAGTTGATGTTTTCCTACCGGAACAAAGCCCTTCTCCCAATACTCCATCTTCTGAGCCTTCTTCAGAACCCTCCTCGGGTTTGTCAGCTCCTGGACTCCGCTCTTCAGTTGTAGTAACAGAGTCCGAGGGTTGAGATTCACCGTTAAATCCTGTGCCGCCCTCAACCGAAGTCAGAGGATTCTCGACACTCTTCCTGCCTTTCCTATGGACCCGGGAGTGCAGCACTAACTGGTGGTAGGTTCGGAATATTCTCCCGCACGTGGCGCAGTTTGTCGGCTTTAGTTTACTCTGGGACAGTTTCTGGTCGACGTCCACATCGGCGGCACAGGCAGACTGTCCGTTCACCACGACTCCGCCCAAACTGTTGCTTTTCATGGACTTGGGTTTCTCGAGGTTCTCGGCGACATGGCTGCTTTTCTCCAGGACCCAGTGGTCACCGGGGTGGTCCTCCTTGTCGGAAGACTCCTCTTCGTTCTCGGAGTTTGCCACATGCCCCGGATCCTTCACGGTCTCTCGGCCGACTGCCACTTTGCCTTTGGTGGCCAGCTGCCAGGCTTGGTACGTGTTAAACGGGTCCAGTTCGGCGATCCACTTGCCCAGCTTCGCGGGTCTGCTGTCGGTTTGTGACGAGAGGCGGTTCAAGTTCAGTATCTGCAGGAAAGCCCCCTGTGACATCGTCTCGTCTCCGTGCGAGGAGCCGTCCTCCACCTTCTCCTCGTCTTCCGCCGCCTCCTTGGTGTGAACCTTGACGTGTTCCTTCAGGCTCTCCTTGGTGGGGAAGAGAAAGCCACAGACCATGCACATTTTGTACGGCGAGGCCACGGCTCCGGGAGTCTGCTCCAGCACCACGTCGTTGATGGTGGTCGGGCCTTCAGAGTCCTGCTGCGACTTGTTTCTGGCTTTGCTCGAGTGCGTCCGCATGTGGTTCTTCAGGAACCAGGGCTCCTTGAAGCGCCGGCCACACGCGACGCAGCTGTACGTGAAGGAATCCTTGTGCTTGCGCAGGTGCGTCTCCAGGCCAGGGCGCTCTCGCAGGCCTGACCGCAGACTTTGCAGCTGAGCTCGCCGTCCTCGTCCTCGCCATTCTCCTCCTGCTCCTCGGGCGAGCTCATGGCCACGCTGTCCTCGTTGGGACTCAGGAGCCCCTCCTCGACCCGGAGCACCGCCGGCTCGCACAGCGTGGGCCGGTGTCGAATCACCACGTGGTGATGCAGTTCCCCCGGGTGGCGGAAGCTTTGGTGACAAAACATACAGGGCAGAAGCCCGTGGCCTTCATCCCGCGCAAAGCCTTCACCCTCCATGCCCTCCGGTGTCGCGGCAATGCCATTCGCCCCGACCACGGCGGCCCGGCTTGCCCCGGCCTCGGCCGACGGAGCGGGATCCGCCGCAACTTTTCCCGTCCCTCTCTCGGCCTGAAAGCTCGCCAGCTTGTGCTTCCGCACGTGCATCTTGAGGTTCCCTTTCTGAGATGTCCTGTAGTCGCAGAAGGGGCACTTGTGCGGCTTGTCACGGGAGTGTGTGCGCATGTGCTGGGCCAGGCTCCGGCCGAAGGGGAAGCATTCCTCGCAAATGGGGCAGCGGTGCTTGACGGAATTGGGTCCGGCGGGGAAACCCCCGAGCGTGACACCCGTCAAGTCCAGTTCTCCGTCCGCGGGCGTTTGCATCACGGGCCCATCGCTAGATTTTAACATCATGAATTCATGGGCGGACCTCTCGGCGTACCAAGGCATAAGCTCTTCTTCCGATGGAGTTTTCCGGTCGTCTTGGTATTGTATTCTCATCACATTACTGAGATCCCAAGTTTCCGACGTCAAAATGGGGTCCCTCTCGCGGCTCCGGTTCTTTCCGGGAGGTCCGACTGCTGTAAACGCAACATTCGAAGGGGTGGGGGGGGGGGGAAATAAAGTAATCAGATTTAAAAACTTAGGGCACTGCACATCGCGGGAAAAAAATCTGAAACTCAAAATAAAGCAATTTGTTTTTGTTCCTTTCTTTCTTTCCCCTTCCCACCCCCACCCTCCCCTCGGAGTACTGCAGTTACAAGAGTGAAAATGGCATGATTTCCTTACTTCCCCCCCACCCCCACCCACCCAAACCCAACACAGACCATGGAAGCCCAATTGTAACTCTTAGTTCCACCCTCGCTGAGATCAGCCAACTCATCATCACGCACCCAAGTAACTCAGCACAAGCCAGCAATCGAACTCCACTTTTCCAATCTGCGCTTCAACCATAAGAGGAAGCCCTCAAATGTATGTTTAATTCTCCCGTTTTACCCTCGAAACCACGGTTATGTATCTGCAGGTTATTTAGGGGGAATCCAACTTTCTCTTGTACTCCTTCAGCAATTGAGCAAATCAAACAAAGTAAGAAAGCACGACTTTACCGCTAAACAGTTGATTATTCCGCTCGGCTTTTATATGGGTTAGTAGTAAAAGGTCAGAAATCACCACCCTTGCCCTATCTGTGGAGACGCTGATAAAAGCTACCAATCTTTTCCAAGTTAAGAGTCCACCCCCTTTACTTGTTTCTGCACGAGATTGTCAATTCAGCAGTGGGTACTGTTTCATATTGATGCAAGAGATAAAATGGCTTAATGGGGGGGAGGGGGAATCAAAGGACATTAATGTGGTGCCCTAGCAAAGGGTCAGCCTAAACTACTGTACCTGTAGTTTCCCTCTCCACCACCCCCCCCGCCCACCCACCCAATGTGACCACTTGGTGGTGCTGCAATATGAATCGATAAACCAAACAAATTCCATTGCAGTTCCAAAAGCCTCCCCCAGTGGCTACTATTCGGCATTGCAACGACCTAATTGCCTAATTGGGCAGCAATAAGCTATGCTTACACCAGGGATTTCGTAACACCAGCAGAACCAATCACGGGGTTATTACTACCTCACCAGTAATTTAATCAAGTTTACTGGAATTGGGAGGATTTGGTTTCTGACTTCTTCAAAGTGAAACTGGAGTTTGAAAATAAGAGGTGACGAGGGCCGGAGAAATGACAACAGAGCAAATAAAACAAAATAAAGTTGCTGAAGTGTCACGTACGCATGGCAGACACGGTCATTCGTATTAGGCGACGCACTTTGCGTGGTGGGGGGGGGGAGCAGAGACAAAGTAAAGGGAGTGGAAGAGAAAACAACTGAAGCCGCTTCGAAAGCCTTCATTTTACACACGCGCTCGCGCGATTGTTTAGTGTTACGCACGAGCGAAACGCAAGCCAGCCGGAGCCTGGCCGACATTGCAATGGGAGTGGAGTGATGCCCCCACCATCAGCTCGCTGCAGGTTCGAGCTGAACACGCCATTAATCTCCATTAGACTTTGGAAGAGGCCATTTTCTGCTCTCCAGAGCGGAGCACAATAGGTGCCGCTCTGCAATAACAGTTATCAAGGAAATAATGGTATTAAGGTAATCTTCACCGAGCAAAACAAACCCAGTCATTTGAAGAACAGTCATATCCTGCGTGGAGGAAATAATGATATCTGCAGCACCACAGATCATACAACAGATTCTTTCATGCATTCCTTTAGCTCAACCTCTTAACTCGCGAGAGAGGATCATTTGTGTCGGTGGTGCTGGAACCCAACTGAACACAACGTGTTTTATGCAGCAGGTGTCTCTTGACCCAGCGCCAAAAAGCACTATTCAAGCAAGAATTATTTTCGTTACAACAGACCAGCACTGTAAGTTTCAAAATAAAGCATCTGGCTTTGCAGTAGAGATATGCATGCGTGCAATTGCAACTGGCAAGAAAGAAAATCTTATGCCCCTCAGTTTCTTTTCAATTCAGTCGGATTCTAAAAAGAATAGAAAACCAAGGTGGCAAATTCATGTCAACTGCTTCCCCATTCCTTTGGATCACATCAGTTATTAAACCAAAATTCTACCCGTCTGTTCAAGTGGTCTTTAAAAATCCTACAGCACTACTGCAGAAGAGGAGGGAGTTTCTCTTGGTTTAAGCAATCCACAAGGTAAATTAGGCATGAATTTTGAGGACAAAATGGCTGCTGCAAAAACGACAACAATATTACATTTGTAGAGCGCCTTTCACGTCAGGAAGACGTCGCAAGGCACTGGACAGTCAGGGGTCAGGACCCGAGCATGGGGGAGGGGCGGGGTAGGGATGAGGGAAGGCAGAGAAGTGGAAGGGCGACTGAGGGCAAGATCGAAGAGAAGGGTGTTGAGACCGGCCTTGAAGGAGGCGAGGGAGGAAGCGAGGTGAAGGGACTGTGGGATGGAGTTCCAGAGTGTGGGGGCAGAGAGGCTGAAGCCCGGCCACCGATGGTAGGGCGGGTCGGGCGGGAGACATGGAGCAGGCCGGAGCACGCTGAACGGAGGGAGCGGGCAGGTTGGTAGGGAGTCAGAAGGTCAGAGAGGTAGGAGGGGGCAAGGCCATGGATGGCCTTGAAAGTAAGGACAAGGATATTGAATTCGATCCTCTGATGGATGGGAAGCAGCCACTGCACTCAACAATAATTACCTGTGCATTGGGAGAGACATAATGTGATAGAGCAAGCTCTTATTTACACATTACCAGAATCTATGCATCATATCATGTGCCTGCCAGTTTTTCACATTCTGTTCCAGCTACACTCCCTTCCTTCCAGTAAAATGACTTGTCAGAATGTCATGCAAAAACAAAACATATCACACAGATTATCTGGCAACAATGTGTGGTCTCGGGGATCGATTACATAATCTGCGCTGCATTGGGATTTTAATTAGGTGCCACCATTTTGGGCTTTGGAGAGTTTTCTGAAGTTGAGCATAAACCACAATGAATAAAAACTGGAGGAATGCTTACCAGCAGCAACTAATGGATAAGTCACAATGAATAAGATTGGATCCAATCTCCGCAACGGTGCAAATGCACTGCATTCCAGCTCAGTGCCACGGAATCGGTCGGGGCTCAAAGCTACCTCATACTAAAAACGTTCCCTCTTTGTGAGAAGTAAAATAATCAACTCATTATTCGACTCAAGCAAACGTTTGGCTGAGCCAGCAGATCTTATTCTAAATATCATGATCTTAAAAAAAAACACCTGCATATAGAAAACAGTACTGGATTAGCTGTGAGTGACCTTCACGTGGCTTTAACATTTCTGGAATGGCAGTAGCCACCGAGCCTGCCTTCAGAAGAAGAAACAAAATCAAACGATTTTATGCAATTACAACGTCAGAGAAAAAAATACAACAGGACGCAAAATACACCACAGAGAGCAACAGAAACCCAAGACAACGTTACACATCAAACCACATGGTGGGGGGGGTGTGAAAAGGAAAGGTAATCAGGCTAGGAAATGGGGAGCCCACAAGAAAATTTCATAATGCTACATTGACGCTGACTGTCACCACCCTCGGCGCCTGAGGAGGAAAGAGAATAGTGGGTGGGGTGGAGGCTTCTGATATCCAAGACCCCTCCTGCTCGAAGTAATAATTGGGAACAGTCCCAGCTGTGATGTGTCTCATCTTCTCTTCCCCCACACGACCTTCTCATTCAGTCTATAACATGCTGACATTAGCCGTCAATGATCACAGTAGAGAGTAGCCACTTGGGCCAAGAGCAACAACTTGCATTTATATAGCGCCATTGACGAGGGGTAGCGTACCGGAGGACTTAAGTACTCTTGGTACCCTCATGGATCAATCCCCCAGAATAGTAGAATGAGGAGGAACTAATAAGTTGGTAAGAAAATACCAATTGTGCACTTTATCCATTTGATCTTTCGAGAGTGACACTAAGGAATGACTGAAATGTGCATTGCACACAAATTCCAAGGCTGAATGGCCAAATGACACACTTGTTCCTTTTACTTGTCGAGTCCTGCAGCTCAGTGGTTAGAGCACTCGCCTTGCAAGCTCCAGACCTGGGTTTCATTCCCAGCAGGGCGAAACATTGGGCAAGTTTCCTTATTCCACATGCCTTTGTTTACTAGCAGTAAGTAGGAACCCGGTTGTCAGTCGATTGTTGGATCGTTTTTTTCCGGGGGTAATAATGCCTTCAAAAAAATAATAAATTGGTCACTTCAATCCACGACTCATTGTGGGACTCTGCTGTACGCAATTGTCTGCCGCTTGGCACTCACAAAATATGCAGTCACTCCACTTTACAGTATATTCTGCGAAGCGCTTTGAGACGTCTCGAAGATGTGATAAGGCGCTATATCAAATGCAAGAATTATTATTATAACTTGACAATAGTATATTTTATCTGGTTTACCGGGTAGATAAGTGGGAGGTGGGGGAAAAAAGAGGCTCACAGAACCAGCAACCCCCAAAAATATTAAAAATAGATTTCAGATAGGGCGGCTGTACAGGTGCAATTTTTTTTAAAAAGAAATAATAGCCAAGATTATAGTGAAAGTATTTGGACTCACCAGCCACTGCAGTTCATAAATGTCTCACAAGTAAGTTTATTACACAAGTGGGTATGAAAATCGTGGTGCAACTTTTTGCACTTCCCCGTTTCCGATCAGCGGAGTGGAACGTGTTTCATTAATGCTGCAAGATTGAATTTCCACTAAGGTGCAATAAAAAGGCAGACTAACACAATAAATACTGTATTCGGTAGTTTTGTCAGCAAGTGCATCATATTGATTGCAGCAACTACTGCATTCAGAACGGAAGTGATTTCAAATAAATAATTGTTCAATGTTTGATTTAATAAGCACTTAGCATTGCAGATGTATGATCTTAAAATTGAAGACCCACACTGTCTAGAGTATTTAAATTAAGTGTTAATTGTCTGCCTAATGCGGTTAGTTTAACAAGGTAGCTTTTGACGAGATTAGCTCTCTGGTAACTGGGAACCCGAAACAGCGTTTGGTTACCGAATGATTAGCTAATGGGGAAT